GATCTCGAGGAAGGTTTCGGTGGTTGGGTGCCGGCCGGTCCCCTCTGACTTCAGTTTGTGAATAGGATATGCTGTACTTGTTTCTACGTTTTTTTACCTCGTAGCTGTCTGTTTTTGATTAGATAGCTGCAAACTACAATTTAGTACATGTGTATAGCGTTTTAATGTACTTACATGCGTGTAACTGACTGGTAAGACTTAATTATCATTTGTAGTAACGATGATCGTACTTAAAGTGATGAGAATGACAACGGTTCCTCATACGCGGGCAATTGTTTATTTGTTCTCATAAACCTTTTAAAATTTTGTTTATACAAGTAAAAACTCAGTTTGGTTACTTCTTTTATACCTGGTTTTTAGTAAGAGTCACTCAGATTTTCGTCAATTCAATTTCTCAAATCCCAAATTCAGTAAGATCCGCAGTTCCGTAGATGTTGCTTTTACTAATGTTTACCAGCTTTTGGAATATTCACAGCATTAAATTACTAATTTATCACAAGCCGTGCCTGGAATCGTTATCACTGTTTTAACAATTGAACCTGGGTGATTCAAGCCAATGTCAAGGCGAAATTTCCTCCAGGATATGCGAACCGCTAGTATGCATCCTTCTTTATTGCTCTGATGGGAATGTATTCGAAACTTTTTTCATATTAACAGTTTTTCTTACTTCTTACAATTTGAGTAAGAGCAAGAACAGAAATTGGGAGAAAATTTTCACATTGTGGGAGAAAAACATGGAATTTGTACTGAGTGTATCTTCACATTGTGACATTATTCATGAGCGGGGCAAATCGTAGTTTTCTGAAGCTCATTTCATGTCCACGCGGTTACTTTTTTTATTTTTTATTTTGTTTTCATAAAGGTAATGGTTGTTCAGCGCCTTATGTAGGGTTGGGTTATAGTGAAACAAAAGTACAGAAGTCTCCAGCGCAAAAACTACAGAAGACTATAGTTGCTTTGGGGTTCTGCCAGTTTCTTTTCTGCTGGCTGTTCCGGCTGTTCCCAAGCTGGCCTCCATCCTCCAAATGCCGCGTTGATCTCGTTTGCCGCAGCTATTAGCAGTCGATCACATCCTGGGGCAGCTACAATCTGAAATAATGCAATCTGAGAGTATGAACTACGACTGGCGTGTTAGCTTTGTAGGTGAATATAAGGACATAAGCCTTTTTGTATATAGCGTAGAAATAGCTGTATTATACCTGTACTCCAAGAGGTATACCATTTTTGTCAAGT